AGCGCATCTACTTGCGAGAGGGTGGAGCGTCCTTCCTAGCCCATCTATTTTCCAAAAAAAAAAATAATTACCTCGGGCTGGACGTAACATAGACATGATGTCTCTTATAGACATGAGTTATGTTTCAAAATTGTCAGTATTAAAAATGTATAGTTTATATAATGTGTACTATACATTATCAACGCTGACAGTAAATTTTGAAACACAGATATGGTGTCTCTTACAGACATTATGACATATTGCTAGATGAAGAAGGACCAGCAATATCTTTATTTGCAGCATATAATGTTATGTTGCATATGTGTAAAGATTACTTCTTTTTTTGTCGGGAGAAGTAGCAATTGATCTGACGTTAAAGATAAATGTTTTTCATTAATCTTCATGTTCAAAATAGATTCCCCTTTTGTCCTCAAAGCTGATTTAACTCATTAACTGTACTTGAAGAAAGTGAACGTCGTTTTTTGTTTTTATATCTGTGAAAAAGATAAAAAGTGAAAAAATTCTTTCAGAATCATTTGAATTTGGAAGGGATCCAATGGCATTCAAAAGTAATATTAAGTTAGGATATTTAATCACATTGATCTGACATTGCAAAATCTGCTTCCATTTCATCGAAATTTAATTTTGACAAATTTAATTTTTCTGTATCATTAAAATTTAAATGTAATGTCGACCATTCTTTTTTTTAATTATCATCAAAACTTCATCAAAACAAACAACTAATGGTTTTGATGATAAACATCTCTGAATGATGTTTCTCTGTCAATATCAAATAAAGCCGTTTGCAATTGAAATAGTTTTAATTTAGATAAAAATCTGCCTGCAATTGGTAATCTTTTACAAATTTCCTCAGCAACAGTAATTAAAAATTCTAAACAATTGTTTCGAATATTTGTAATTGTATCATATTTTCTTCACTTATTTCATTTAGATATGCCTCGCATTCGGGTCCTAAATTAAATTTGTCTTCAAGAGATTTATGATTCTTACTTTTGGAAAAGTTTATCGTAAATAAATCTTTTAAAAGATCTGGTTTTAAAAAATGTTGAGAAATTTGGAATAGAAAATTCATAGATTTTGGATGCAATAAATATTCTTGTTTCCCCTGTTTGAAAAAATGCATTAAATGTATTAAACAAATTTAAAATATGCTTTAAAAACAATAGATACGCTTTCATATCTATGTTTTGCATTTTAAACAATAGATACTCTCCCGGCTCACTTTTTTCGCTTACAGACATGTCAATTAAAAAATATTTAACAGTATTCCAAGAAGAAAAAATTCTTTCAACACATGGGTGACGAGAAAGCCAGCGCGTATCGGATAATCTTAAAATTTTATGACTCGATTCCTGAAAACATTTGGAAAACTCGCGAAAATTAGAAAATCGCTTTGGACTACTATTGATAAAACTAGGAATTTTTTTTAAATTCCTCACAAAATTCAGGTATTTTAGAACATGCAATATGTGCAGCCAATGCAACAGAATGACATGGACATGTAAGCGTCAATAAAGATTTTTAGATATTTCTTCAAACTTTTTTTTAAATAATAAATGTTTCCCTGTACATTACAGACGCTTTGCCGCATGACAAAGCAATAATATTTGAAAATGGAATTTGCAGCTTCCACATTTCCATTTTAAAGGCATTAAACTTTTTCGAACTATAATCTTTAGCATCAACATCAATTAATTTGACTAACTGTGAGTGAACATTTAAAGTTTCAGAATTGACATATTGAAAAATGTCATCCATTTTTCGTTTGAGATATCTGATGTTCATCAATAAAAACTGAAAATTTCGTGTTTTTAATATTTTCTATTACACGATCAGTCTTCACAGTCAGCACAAAACATTCGAAATTATTTTCATACATCTTGTGCGACCCATATTCATATTGTTTAATATCTTAGGATCTTTTCCTATATTCTGAAAAAAATTAAGAATTATTTGTGCAGTGTCAAGGGAAATATTTTGGTCAGCAATCAATGCAGCATATTGAATCTCTGCTTTTCCGCTCATCAAATGTCAAAAATGTTTCATCATCTTCATTAACATTACATGTATTAACAATACCTTCTTTATTACATTTGTATATGCATTGCTGAATTTGCGTCAATAAATATTCGATAAACGAGCAGCAATATATTTTTCACAAATGCAGCAAAAAACTAAGTTTATATCATGTGGCGCTTCACGCAACCATGGCTTAAGTTCTTCAATATCATTGTTGTCTTACTTGTTTAAAAGTCTCTTTTTTTGATATTTAGACTCGAACTTATCACATGATGTATCGAACGTTATCACATGATGATGTACTTTCTCTACAATTATTTTTGTGACACGCAGATTTTGCATGCCTTGAAAGCTTCGTGCACGAAAAATTTTTGTTGCATACAATGCAATAAAAAAGACTGTCATCGGACGATACTTTATGTATCCAAGACTTAAAGAAATTATCAGTAAGCCAATTATTTAAAAAGCTCTGTTTATTTTTTTATTTGTTTTGTTATACGATTTCATACTAAAGATTCAATAAAGAAAAAAAATTTGAAAATGAAACAATATATGTAACAATATATATAATATATAGTATA